CATTTCCCATTGGGTCAATTACAGTGAGGAACCTCTGTGCCATGTTCACAACCTTAAGTAAAGTAATTTCATATTTCATATCAATAAAAAGGCTGTATAAGGACTTCCTTTACTATGCTTAATGGTTACTCTACAGAGTCTTGCAGAGCCTGCTTAATTTGTTCCAGCCAAGACTTCATTTTTAAATATGTCCACATAACAAAAGAGAAAATTTGTCAAAGTACTGAGTCATCAGAAATCAAATATTTTGGAAACAGATCACAAGAATCCAATGTGCAGTAATATTCTCACGACACAGCCAAAGACTCTCTGCTGGGAACTTCATCTGTAACAGATAATATAGAAATATGTACGTTAATAAAGATGAGTTAGGACCCTACATCAAAAGAAATGACTTACTTTCTTAATAGGTACATCACCTTATGGAGACTTTTAAACTGCCCATTAAAGAAGAGGGAGCTTGCCACAATGGCATTGAAATGAAATATGGCTTCCTGATAAAATTATCAATATATTTGTTAGTGCAAAAGTACAGTACATCCATAGACCATGTCAAGTAACTTCCATTCAAAAGTAACAGATACCTGTTGAGTGGTGTTTTTTCCAGGTTGACAAAGGTTGTTGTCCTCGAAGGAGTGTGTTTTGTCCTTGAGGTGTATGTGAACAGCTGAGTCCTGTCCTGAGGAGTTGGCCCCCTGTGTTGCCTAACAGAACTCTTCAACCTTGACCATGACCTGGATGACTGAGAATCTTCATAGACAGAAGTTTAAAATGTTTATGTGCATTGCTATATAACCTTCAGCCCTAATTCATCCAATGTAAGAGATTTTAGAATGACTTTAGACTTTTTTCTATTAAATTAGGTATTTTTCTCAGAGAAAAAAGCAACTCTGATATAATTTCACACAAAATTCATAAAATGGTTAAGAAATTATGTCAAATTTGCCTTTTTCTCCGTTTTTTGGGGTAATTTCAATGCACACAACGGAAATAAACTGAATATATACCTACAAAAACATGTGTAGCGATCAAAAACTCAATGGAAGAAATACTTATTTTCATGGAAAAATGTCAGGGGCCCATACACATCAAGTCTGTAGATAGGCCAATATCAGAGACTTGTAAACGAGCTTATGAAATACTGTAAACCCTGAGCCAATTTAGTAAGGTATTGTTTTAAAACATCTGGAAAATCACAGCGCTATTAGACATTCGAATTGCATACACATAAGTTCGCAGGCTACACGAGCAAGTTTTATGCCTACATGAAAATGACGATAATTCACCGTATTAGCTATTCAAGCTGCATCCAGACACGATCTCATGCACGTGGCAAGTTAAAATAATGTGACTGTTGTGGATAAAACATATAACCAGCTTGATATATATATTCATGTTTAAGGAATTATAAAGGTGTGCTAAAACATATAACCAGCTTGAACATAAAATGCTGCTTAAAGCTAAAACTGAAAATATGCAGATGTAGAGAAAAGGAGCTGCAAGGTTGAGTTAAACCCAAGGTTTGTTGTGACAAGAGGAGTACTTGGTGTGGTGGGAAACAAACTTTTAGAATAACAATTTGACAATGGCTGGATTCATAGTTAGAACACAAG